AGATATAAAAATATCAATATAGCGCAGATGACTGACTGTCTTGTTTTGAAGCGACTGTTTATCATTTGAACGCACTTCAGTGTTTTAAACAGCCGCCTCCACCGCTTTAAATGCTGGTTATGTGTATCCCATCTTGTTGTTGTTTGTTGCCACGCTTCGTTCCTGCTGCAAAACACACAATATGTGTTTGTCAAATGTGCTTCCTTACCTGAGAAATTCCTGCAGACAGGTATCGCAGAATCGGTGTCCACATGTGGAAACTTGGACGGGTTCCCTCATTGCTTTGCTACACAGAGGACACTGAAAGCGTCTCTTGGGCTTCTCCAGGAACTTGTAGTCAAACCCCGGCATTGCTGGTGCTTACAGTAAGCGTCTATAGGAACTGTCGTTTGTTGTCCTCCGCTTGCAAAGGCGCGGTGACAGAGTCCTTCACGAAAGCTGATATTCACTTGCCAACGATACACAAGCTCCGTCGGTATTGTTCCGTCTCAGCTATCTTTGTCGAGCAACACGGCTCGATCCAGCATCAGGGTGCCAGCTTAAACCCAGCGATCTGTCTGTGGCATGAGGCTGTCAATGCAGCGCTGGTGCGCGTTGATGAACGGAGATGAAGAGAAACGCGATGAGAGTCGCTCACAGCGCCTGTCGAGAATAACACTGACAGCCTGGAGACAAAGCTCAGATCCCATCTGTTTAGGTATACAAAGCCCCACCCACTATGCATGAGGGAGGAGCCTAATTTAAATCTCTCAGCCCCGCAGAAATCAGACAGCTTATTTACAGTTATGTACAGTAATGCTATCTGTGCGCATTATAATGTTAAGGGGATTATTTAAAAGCTTTTCTGTAAGTAATTTTCTCTTGAGGTTCTTCTCTCAACTGAATGGTCTTAGAAACTTTTTAACAAAACGTTTTTGTGGTAGCCTGAGCTTGCGATATGAACATGTATTGTCAAGTAAAAAATAATCACCCTGCATAGAATTTAAAAAAAAAACTAAAATAAAAACACTGAAACCGGCCTAAGATGGTTGGCTGGTTTTAGCTGGTCTTCCAGCCTGGTCATACCTGGTTTTAGAGAAGTTTCGAACACTTTTTTAGCTGGTCAGACTGGTTTTAGTCGGCCAGGCTAGGAGACCAGCTTAAACCAGCTAAGACCATCCAACCAGCATAGGCTAGTTTTAAGTTTTCCCAGCCTGACCAGCAAAAAAAGTGACCAAATACCCTCTAAAAAAAGCCTGCAGCCTTTTATTTTATGTAGGAACAGTAAAGTACCGTTTCCATGGTAACGCAATGTCCGATTTCAAAATGGTTTTCACAGGATGAATTTTGAGGTTTGAAGCTTTCAAATGATATATCATTTATTATGATGACTAAAACATGTAATAGGGAAAAATGAAACGAAAAATCATTTTTGTGACAAAGGTCAGAGCTCCTTTATGCACTCTTGTCATAACTTAATCTATTACTGTTCCTACATAATTTGTAACAAAAACAGTGATAAAATATCTATTTAGGAGTCTTAGACCTTTCCAACGATATATAGTTTGTCATGATTAGATTAGGATTTAACTGTAATATAGTATTGAATATAGTATAGAAGTAAACTACCAGCGGGACGGTAACAGTTACGGGGTTAAAAAATGTGGTTAAACGCATTTTTAAAAATCATACTTTTTAATATTAATTGTTTGCACTGTGTGACAAATACTGATATATTTTTTTTTTCTGTTCATATCTGATTCCTTCTAGTTTTTAATAATGTGATATTTAGGGAATTGCATTGAATGCAATCAGGTTCAATTTGACCCGCTCCATCAAAATCGTACCCAGAAATCGAACATAATACAAGGGTTAATATGAAAAATCTTAAATGTAGGCTATATAAATATAAATGCAAATTTAGGACGTAACCCAATTAACTGTATAAAAAGTGCATATTTATTAAAAACATTTTCATTATGAAAAACGTCCATACAAAGGCAATAACTGGACTCCTGGTAACAAAAGGTTGCAGAAAGTTATTTGTAAGGCAAACGACTCCCTCTATAGGTGAGAAGCTCACGCGATACGTGCAAGAGCAGACATTACGTCAACAACAACAGCACAAAAGATGGAATTAGAGTTATACAGTTTATTAGAGTTCGAATATTTCATAGTTCGGCTTCATTTAAACATATAAAAACTCTCGTCAATGTTAAATATGTTTTGCATGGAAAAGCGTGCGCTGCATTAGTGACATGTTGGGAGCATCACGTATTGCACAAGAATTACATCATAGCATGATGGACGCACGAGCTCTGTGCATCCTGCCATGTTGATGTTGATGATGGTATTCAGCTGAGGATAACACACGAGTATGCTTTTTGATATGCATTAATATTATTATTCATTGTGATGGTTCTACTAGCTGTAAAATAGCACAGTGGTTACACTGTTTAAGGTCACTTGTTAATTTTGTGTAATTTTATATTTAAGAGCTGAGTAATATAATTAACAACATGTATTTAGGATTAGTTGCACGTAATCTTGCATAATTTACTGTTATTACCACACTAAATGTCTAACAAGGACACTGAAAAATAAGTGTCATAGTTAATTCTCAGTGATTATAATTACATTAACAATTAAACTATTATTTATATTAGTAGTAGTGGTGATATAAATTTACATTTACATTTAGACATTTAGCAGACGCTTTTATCCAAAAATGGCTGCCCACTGCTCCGGGTGTGTGTTCACGGTGTGTGTGTGTTCACTGCTGTGTGTGTGCACTCTGGATGGGTTAAATGCAGAGCACTAATTCCTAGTATGGGTCACCATACTTGGCCACGTCAATACCACGACTGAGGTGCCCTTGAGCAAGGCACCGAACCCCCAACTGCTCCCCGGGCGCTGCAGCAAAAAATGGCTGCCCACTGCTCCGGGTGTGTGTTCACTGCTGTGTGTGTGTGTTCACGGTGTGTGTGTGCACTCTGGATGGGTTAAATGCAGAGCACTAATTCCTAGTATGGGTCACCATACTTGGCCACGTCACGTCACTTTCACAAGTCTCAGTTAGCCTAACGCAGTACATGTAGCACACTCTAAAAAATGCTGGGTAAAATAGGGACAAACCCAGCAATTGGGCTGTTTTGACCCATCGGTTGGGTTAAATGTTTAACCCAACCTTCTGGGTAGTAACCCAACCGCTGGGTCAAAACAACCCAATTGCTGG